ACCTGGTGGGCCGATTTAACTCAGCAGTGGACCTCAATTCAACAAACTCTGGCCAAGGCCAAGGAGGATTACAAAACCCAAGCTGACAAAGTGAGACCTTCTCCCAGGAGACTGTATACATTTCTACCAAGAACCTGAGGGGATTACAACCAGGGGAAAAGTTGGGGTGGAAATATGTGGGGCCTGTTAAGGTGGTGAGAGTCATTAACAAGGTCGCTGTTGAAGTGGAATTGCCAAAGAACTTATGCCACATCCACCCTGTTTTCCATTTCAGTCTACTGAAGAAAGATCCGGGACCTTTGAAGTGGAGACCTCATCCAGCAGTTCCTTCTCTCCTGAACACGGATGGAGAATTCCACCAGGAGGTGGAAGAAATCTTAGACTCTAATCTCAAATGGGGCCACCTGTACTATCTCATTAAGTGGTGAGACTTTGACCCTAGTCATAATGAATGGGTGAGAGAGGACCATGTCTGATTCACACCTTCCATAAACACCACCCTCACAAACCTGGGGGGTGAAGGGATTTGGGGGGGCAGAACTTGGGTCCTCGTTTGCCATGTATTTCTGTCATTCTCTTTTCCTTACCTATAACCATCTTGTATTGGGGCCATTGGGAGGCAGATGGTAAGTGCATGTGAGTATGTGGGAATTGCTTCACTTAGCTGTTTTGCAACTACTTTCTCAAGAGTCCTCCCAAATGGGAGGAATGTGAATGACCTTAGATGCCTGTCTCTGCTATCTGGCCTGTCACAGATACAGAAGCTGTAGGTCTGCAGGTGGGAGGGGAGGAATGCACACTTGGTTTAGGCAGACTGCGTGGATGGTTTGATTGGATGGGTCACTGAGGGGGGGGGGGTTGTTTGAATTGGGTATAATACCAGGACTGGTGCCAAACCCATTAGTTCTGACACAGAGGAGCTCAGCTTGACACATCTTCATATCTCAATAAACAAATCGCTACAAGAGAATGTTGTTGAGAGTGAGTTTGTTCAAGAGCACAGAGGAGTGGCATCCAAGGTTACTAAAAGAATTTGTGGATGTAATTTCTGAGCCTCTGTCCATTTGAGAATTCTCAAAGAACAGGTGAGGTGCCAGAAGATTGGAGGTGGGCAAATGTCCCCATCTTCAAGAAGGGGGAAAGGGAGGATCCGAGTAGCTACCGACCTGTCAGCTTGACATCTGTACCTGGAAAGGTTTTAGAACAAATCATGAAAGAATCAGTCCTTAAGCATCTAGAAAGGATGGCTATGATTCCTAAGAGCCAGCAGGGGGTTCTCAAGAACAAGTCGTCAGACTAAAATTATCTCTTTTTTTGAGAAAGTTACTACCTTGCTGGATCAGGGGAATGCTGTAGACAAAGAAGAAGAAGAGGAGGAGGAGATTGGACTTATACCCCACCCTTCACTACCCAAAGGTGTCTCAGAGCAGCTTACAAACTCCTTTCCCCTCCCCTCCCCTCCCCATAACAGACGCCCTGTGAGGTAGGTGGGGCTGAGAGAGCTCTTGACAGAATCTGCTCTTTTTCAAGAACAGCTCTTATCAGAACTACAGCTTGCCCAAGGTCATCCAGCCAGGTGCAAGTGGAGGAGTGGGGAATCAAACCCGATTCTCCCAGATTAGATTCCGCGCACTTAACCACTACATCAAACTGGCTAGTTTATTTTGATTTCAGTAAGGCTTTTGATAAGGTTCCACATAATATTCTTGTTGACTAGTTGGCAAAATGTGGTTTGGATCCTATGATTGTTAGGTGGGTCTGTAACTGGTTGACAGATCATACCCAAAGAGTGCTTGCTAATGGTGTCCCATTCTCTTGGAGAGCAGTGACAAGTGGAGTGTCTCAGGGGTCTGTCCTGGGACCTGTTTTGTTCAACATCTTTATCAATGATTTGTATGAAGGGATAGAGGGAACTCTTATTAAATTTGCAGATGATACTAAATTGGGAGGGGTAGCAAATATGGTAGAAGACAGAGTCAAGATACAGGCTAGAAAACTGGGCTAAAAGAAATTTAATGAATTACAATGGGGGTAAATGTAAAGTTCTGCATTTAGGTAGGAAAAATCAAATGCATAATTATAGGATGGGGGAGACTTGTCTTGGTATGAAATGAAATGGTGTGTATGAAAAGGATCTAGGGGTCGTAGTACACTGAACATGAGTCAGCAGTGTGATGCAGTTGCTAAAATGGTAAATGCGATTTTGGGCTGTATCAACAGAAGTATAGTGTCCAGATCACACTAAGTGATGGTATCGATGTACGCTGCTCTGGTTAGACCTCACCTAGAGTACTGTGTTCAGTTTTGGGCATCACAATTTTAAAAGGATATAGACAGGCTGGAACGTGTCCAGAGGAGGGCAATGAAGATGGTGAGGGGTCTGGAGACCAAGTCCTATGAGGAAAGGTTGGAGAGGTTTTTTTCTAGCTAAAGCCCTCTAGGGGCTGCTGTGCACTCGACCCGGAGGTCTTTGATCCCACCCAGAGCAGTGCCCCTACCCTCAGTTCCTCTTTTGCCACTGAAGGAGAAGGTTGGAGTTTGGAGAGTTCTCTTGCTTCGTGGTGGTGAGGAAGTTGCCTTCATTGTGATCACTTCTGAGTCCCGATGGCTCAGAAACCCCTCTTTTAAAAAATGCACTCTTTGCAGTGCTGAAACAACCCAGACCGATGAATACAAAGTATATGTCTTGGTGAAGAACATAAGGCCTGTCTCTGCTTCACCCCCAAAAGTAGAGTGAAAGAGCATCCAAATTTAAGTCAGCATTGTGTGGAAAGGCACTTAAAGCCCTGGAGCCTCTGTCCAAACTGGCTACAGAAAAGTCGGAATCAACACGCTTGGCATTGCCTCCTGGATCCAAGTCCCAATGGATCCATTTGCGTTCATGCTCATCCAAGATGCAATTGGCGTCCTTGGAGCCACTGACTAAAAGGGTGAAGGACAAGTTAAAGACTAAGCAAAAAAAAAACCCTACCCAGCCGATTCGCACCCCAGAACTGACCCAGATGGTACAGGACAGAACACCATCACCAGGCCAAAGATTGCTTCCGATCTCAGTTTCCAAGGGGGAGATAGACACAGATCTACCAGCTGGACATCGAATCTGAACAGACAGTTCCATGGGGGCATTCCCATCCACCAATGAGATGGCCTTGATGTCCCCCCCCCAATATACAGTCAAGAGACACCCTTCACAGACATATGGATCCGAACATGTATGCCTACCAGCCTTGACCATGTTCATACCTGCCAACCACATCAGCTTCCTACAGGCCTCCATCTCCTGTAGTCAACAGTAGTGAGGAAGTATCCAATCAGCCTTAGAGCCAACCCCGGATGAAAGTGTAAGATGCATTCTCTGCATCCCCTACAGAAGATTTACATGTGTATAGTGAGCAGATGACTCGCATGGCTCAATTGCTTGAAATCGAGATAGTGACCTTGGAGCACAAACCAAAAGATAAAATATTTAGTAAATTGTACTTGGATTCACCTGGCATGATTGCCTTCCTGGTACTGGAAGATCTGGATCACAGCTCTCAAGAGGTTTGACAGAGGCCAGCTTAGTTACAGGCCACATCCAAAAGAGTAGAACACTTCCATAGAATCAAAAAGAAACCATTCAACTATTGGACCACCCACACTCCTCCGTCAGCTGTCATCATGGAGGAAATGCAATGCAAGGGTCAACAATCCTTTCACTCAGTGCCCACTGACAGGGAAGGATATAAGCTAGAAATTTTAGGCAGAAAGTTGTATCCATTGTCTGCGCTAGGGTTTGACATGGCCAACTATGAGGTCATTATGGCCTGTTATCAGTTATTCTTATGGGAATATATACTCTGTTTTTTTCTGTTGCCCCAGAAGGTTGGACCAGAACCAGTGGGTTGAAAGTAAAAAAGAGTTTTTGGCTAAACATTAGGAAGAACCTCCTGACAGAGCAGTTCCTCAGTGGAACAGATTTCCTTGAGAGGTGGTGGGCTCTCCTTTGGAGGTGTTTAAATAGAGGCTAAATGGCCATCTGGCAGCAATGCTGATTCACATGAGAGGAAGGGTTTGATCTGTGCTTATTTCTCGTGGCTCTTTCTTACACACCCAAGGAAATGCTGGTCGCCGCTTTGGGGTCGGAAAGCAATTTTCTCCAGGCCAGTTTGGCCATGGATCCTAGAGGGGTTTTTTGTCATCATCTGGGCATGGAGCAGGGGTCACTGGGTGTGTGGGAGGGAGGTATTTTTGAGTTTCCTGCATTGTGCAGGGGGTTGGACTAGATGACCCTGGAGACCCCTTCCAACTGTATGATTCTGTGGTTCTATGCTTTCAATATTTACTTGTGAAGGCTGCAGCCTTTTACAGATCCTCTTCCGTGGAGTTAAGGAGTAGAGACAGTAAAGTATCTAAAGCTTTTGCTGCAAGATGGGTTAGGGTTTGTGCTGTATAAAGCTGCAGGACATCCATCTCCACACTTGCTGTATGGAGCGGTCTCTCTTGGGCTGTGTCAGTTATACACACCTTCTCCAGAAATGGAAAAGTCAATATTTCCCCCTCCACTAAGGCAGCCTTTGCACCAGGGCTGTAATGTTCTCTGTCTTTCTCAACCTGCGTTCCCTGTCAGGGTTGCTGTTACTGTTCCGAGAAACCTTGTGGTCTGGGCCACTGAAAGGCAAAAAGTAGAAAGAATAGAGAATTTGCTAACTTGGTAAATTTTCCTTCTACTACCTCACCTGATGTTGGTTCAGCACCACTTGATAGATGGAGTTTGTTGGACCGTGTTTGTCAGTTCAAAATTCTCTTTTTCTAGCACAGAACTCAATTTTATTGTGATAATCCATGTGTGAAGAAAAAACTCCCAAAAGAAAAATGTACTTGATTTTCTTTTCTGTTGTTTGGGTCAAGGCAGAAAAAGAAAGACAATCTTCCAGGATTTGGTGCAGATCATTTGGCATGAGATGCATTATTTTTAGTTGACTTGTAAGAAAATATGTTAACTATTTTCTTTTTTGCAGTTCCAGACAGAGCTTCGGAAGATCTTAGTCTCTCTTATAGAAGTTGCCCAGAAGTTGCTAGCGTTGAACCCTGATGCAGTGGAACTATTTAAGAAGGCAAATGGTATGAAACAATTCTTAACTGCTCTGCTGTCTGGAAGTGAAGCCCTGAAATATATTTGGTGTATATTCCAAAATCATATAGGCTGATGTGGGTGCTGCATCTAGGAAACTATCTAATCAGCTTGTTGCTCATAGCTTTTGAGATCTTGGGTTTTCTTTCTGGGGCAGTGATCCGAGAAAAGGGCAAATTCTGTGCTGGGGATTATTAGGAAAGGAATCGAAAATAAAACAGACAATATTATAATGCCCCTGTATAGATATGTAATGCGGTCTCATTTGGAATGCTGTGGTCAGTTCTGGTCACCATATCTCAAAAAAAGGACACTGTAGAACTGGACAAAGTATAGAAGAGGGCAACCAAGAGATGTTGCCACCCCTTTCTTATGAGGAAAAACTGAAGAGTTTGGGACTTTTCAGTTTAGAAAAGAGACAACTAAGGGGGAACATGATAGAAGTTTATGAAATTATGCATGGAGTGGAGAGTGTGGACAGAGAGAACTTTTTCTGCCTCTCCCAAAAGGCTAGAACTTGAGGGCATCCAATGAAGTTGATAGGCAGTAGATTGAGGATGGTCAAAAGAAAAATACTCCTTTACTCAACAAGTGATTAAAGTATGGGATTTTATGCCAGACTATATAGTGATGGCCAAAAGCATAGGTGGCTTTAAAAGGGAAATAGACAAATCCATGGAGGACAGGAGTCTATCAGTGGCTGCTAGCCATGTGGGTGAAGGGATCCTCCATACCTCCATGTTCAGAGGTAGAGGCACTTCCTCTGCAGCCCATCATTGGCCCTCCAGAGTAACTGATGGGCCACTGTGAGAGACAGGATTCTGGACTACATGGACCACTGGTCTGATCCAGAAGGGCACTTCTTATCATTTATTATTCAGTTTGTATAAACTGTGTGCCCTTTTCAATGAAAGCCATTTCCCTTAAGTGAAGAAAGTTGTCCTGATAGGTTTCCCTCACATCTAAAGGTCTGTATATGTAGCTTTCTGCCTCTGTGTAGGAGGTTTTCAGTGTCAGTGTATAATAGACCTCTCTCTTCCTATATCAGTCTACTTCTGAGGTTTCTCTGAGTGGGTGTAACCAGGCAGGTCACTAGGGGTGTTGGGGGGAGGTATTTGTGAATTTCCTGCATTGTGCAGGGGGGGTTGGACTTGATGACTCTGGAGATCCCTTCCAACTCTATGAGTCTATGATTCTAAATTTGATACTGTACTGGGTGCTTCCCAACTTTTCCCTCATTTAGAGAATCCAGCTTCCTCATGTACTTGAAGGTATTTTTCTACTTGTCAGATTCCTAACATGCTAAATTTTCTGTATGATGATCTGATTTTGCATGCTTTATTCAAGCACTTTTTTGTTTTTAGCCATGTTAGATGAGGATGAGGACGACAGAGTGGATGAGATTGCCTTGCGCCAACTGACAGAAATGGGGTTTCCAGAGAGTCGAGCTGCCAAAGCCCTTCGTTTAAGCCAGTAGGTGTAAAACCCATGCATCTTTGGGGAGGTTGTGCTGGGTAATGTATTTGCTTTGAGACTGATTTAATCAGTACATGACAGAACAGTATAACAGAACATTTGTAATTGGCCAATTTCCCTGTGGTATGGCTAAGGAGAATGAGCTTCTGGTATCTTTGCTACAGGAGAGAACACTTGTTTGCTTGGTTCTATAGAACTGGAAGCATTTAGAAGTTGGCTTAGGCACCTTCTTGTTCTTCCTTCGTGGCTTGGTGGATGGATTCTGGTGCACAGTAAGAAGCCCAAGCAAATGTCAGCTCAGCCACCAACTTCACAATATTGAATAAGGCACACACTTTCTGTTATAAAGAGTGAAAGAGATGTGTTCACTTTTTGCCCTTACCAGGATTACTACGGCATCCATGTCTTGCTTCAACACTTGTCATATGTAGTTGGAGGGACATGTATATCCTAGCTTGTGGGAATGAGGGCCCCATTTCCAATTTGGTCCCAGATTCACACAAGGGGAGCCTGAACAAAGAAACCCTTCTCCTGTTTTTTGGTCCCAGCAGCTTCTGAATTAGGTTTTATATCTTACTTAAGGGAAGGTGCCCAGTCTGGCCAGTGACCACCACGAGGAGCAACCAAGAGGTTGTGGCAAAGTGGTGAGACTCCTAGATTTTGCCACCAGGGATGACTGATGTGCTAACAGCTCCGGATCTTCACTGTGACCATGCGAGCATAAACCCCAAGAGGTGCAAAAGGGAGGTGAGGTTAGGGTTCCTTTGAAGTAGACTGATTCTGATGAGGAGGGTGATAAGGTTCCTCAATGTCCATAGCATCATTTTCCAAACATTCAAACCTATTTTGAAGTTTGAAAAGAGCAAAAAACTCCCCCAACTTTAGTTGTTTGATGGTGGCAAAATCACAAGAGAGGATATTCCACCAGCTAGGGAAATTTTTATCTCTGATACAGGAAAGAGATGGATGTTCAACAATAAATAAAGCTCTCCTCCCAGTGAGGGATATTGACACAGAAGCGAGTCCAACTGCTCCAACTGTTCCAAAGGCTGTACCAAATGAGCAGAAGGGTTCCAGGAAGAGCTCCCCCTCATTAATTTATAACCCCAACAGTTTGGCCATAAATGTTTTTCCCTTAAGGAGGAGACTTATTGACTGGAGTACCAAAATGAAGGCAATACTCCACCTATCTGCTATCCTTAAAACCACTCCAAAGTCCATAGATCTTATTAGGCTGGAAAGACTGGCTGACATCTTGTATTTTGAACACTTCCGCTTACATTTTCAAACTAAAAGAATCCCAGCTTCCCTGTTTGCACAAGCCTCTAGAATATCAGATTTGGACATCAAGCTTTGTGCCTAATTTGCTCAACTACCAAAAAACATTTCAAGCTCTTTGATTTCCTGTAGTGGAATATTTAACAGAAAAGATAATCCCTAAAAATCTATATTATCAACACCTGTTATTTTTTTGAACATTCATAGTGTAAAAATGTCTAAATTTATTTACTGTACTAAATAAGAGCTGTTAAAACCTTGTAAGACAAAAAATGGAATTTCGTGTGTGTGTGTGTGTGTGTGTGTTGAAAATAATAAAATTGTTATGGGGGGGGGGAACCAGCATTCCCTCGATCCGGGGAGCTCGTCACTCGATCCAAGAAGGAAAGGAGGCTGGTCTGGCAGGACCTGTTGAGGACAATCCATGCTGACTTCCACAGATCACCAAGTTGTCCTTCAGATGCTCGCAGATTGATCGCTTTAAAATCTGCTCCAGTATCTTCCCTGGGACAGAGGTCAGACTGACTGGCCTTTACTTTCCGGGGTCATCCCTCCTCCTTTTTTGAAAATTGGGATAACATTTGCCCTCCTCCAGTCTAGTGGCACATTTCCTTTCCTCCAAGAGGTCTGGAAGATGATGGACCAAGGGTCTGCAAGCTCGCTAGAATCTTCTTTGAGCCCTCTTGTGTGCATACCATCTGGCCCGGGGGATTTGTACTCATTCAGTGCAGCTTAGTGCTCCTCAACTACCTCTCTGTCTATGTCAACCAGCAGCCCAGTCGCCCTGTATAATGTATCCATCCCAGACCACATGCGCTGCCATTTCACCACGCGGTCTTGTGAAGCGACCGAGCTTCGCTCTCAGTAACAATGGGACAAGTTGATCCTAGCTGGCACCTATCAGCAGGCTAGGCTCCCGGCTGAGAGCCTATGGAACTCTCGGCCACTGTAAATAGCCAGTCACTTGTGTGTGGGTGTGTTTTGGGTGCAGGGTTGTTGCACATATAAACCAGCCTGTGAGCTGGGTATTCTCATCTTGTTCTGAGCTGAATTAAAGTATGAGAGCTGAAATCACTAGTAAGTCTCAGTACTTTTCACCATGCCTTGCCCACTACCATCTTTAGATGAGCCTGTGCTCCTCTTCAGGGGAAAAACTGAGGCCAAATAGGCATTGAGCCTTTCTGCTTTTTCTCTGTCAGAGTTTTTCCATTTTCACCCAACAGTGGGCCCATTGCCTCTTTTATCTTGCGTTTGCTCCTCACATATGTGAAGATTTTCTCCTTTTTTCTGTAATTTTTTAAATTTTTGTAACACATATGTGAAGATTTCCTTGTAGCAAGCCCCTCTGGCCAGCTTTGGATCACTGTGAGCTTTGGCCTCTCTGATGGCCGACCTACAGTGCCTAGCAACCCGTAGATACTCTTCTTTAGAAGTATGTCCTTTTCTTGAACATTTCTTGAACATTTCCTTTTTCTCCCTTATCACATCATGCAGTTCTCTGTTCATCCACATTGTCTACCATGTTTCCTTCTTGTTGGAATAGTGATGGTTTGAGCTTGCAAGCGCTCTTGTTTTAGGAGAGCCCACCCTTCACTTGCTCCTGTCCCTTCCAGCAGTCTCACCCATGGAATAATCCTCATCATGCCTCTGAATGTATTAAATTCTGCCCTACTGAAATCTAACAATCACATGTGGCTATGAACTTTCCTGGTCCCCCACTGCAAAAGGAATTCTATCAGGACGTGATCACGTCCCCCAAATGTCCCCACCCCACCTACCATCTCTTGCCTGTCGAGTATGGCTGAGACCCTCGTAGCTTCCTCCAGCATTTGATGAAGGAAGTTGTCATCCAGACAGGTCAGGAATGTGCGTGACTGGGGGCGCTTTACAGAGTTTGCCTCCCAGCACACATCAGGGAAGTTGAAGTCACCCATAATTACCAGGTCATGTTGTTTGGTTACTCTGTCAAGCTGTTCAAGGAGGGCAGCATCCATCCCCTCATCCTGGTCAGGAGGTCTGTGGCAGACTCCAGCCACAGTCCTGTCTGTCCTCCCTTCCCTTATGTCCTCTCGCCCAGATACTTTCCACTGGGCTGCCGCCGCCCTCCTCCTCCAGTGTTCCGTGACAAACCCTCTCCTCACATGCAGCGCCACTCTGCCTCCTCTTGAACCCTGGATCAAGAACTTCCCAAACCCATCTTGACAACTCTTCCTTCTTTGATTAACTGCTAGATGCCATCTTGATTAAGAGCAAGGATTAGTAAAAAGCCACGCCTATCCTAAGGAAAAGGTTCAGAGAACTAACAGCCCTCATCTTCTTTTGTTCTTCCAAATCCTTCACATCGTGTCACCATCCCAATTCAACTCACAAGTACCTCCTTAGGTCTCAGTGATCCCAAGAAGATGGCGTTGGTCTGATGCCAGACCATCAGGCTGCCTCAGTTTTGGGGGACTCTCCACTCATGGGTACTCAACGAAATTAATAACCACTAAGCTTAGAACAGATAAAAGAAAGTCCTTTTTCATCCAAAGGGGTAATTAACACATGGAATTCACTGCTGCAAGAAGTGTCCATAAGTTTATTGAAACAGACATCAGACACATGGATCACAATGACCATAAGAACAGACAGGGAATAAACAGCAATTAGCTAATCAAGTTATACAATCAGGTAATACAAAATTACTAAATTATTAATAATTGTTAAGATTAATCTAAAATACATAAAACTTTCTGGTTAATTTTACAAACAGCTGGGAGAAATTTTACACTGAGGGCTGTAACCTGTGGGGTTTTGCCTGTAACTAACATTTTAACAGACTCTGAATCCAGGCGAACAGGATACCTTCCCAGTAAAAGAAGAATAAACTTAGAAAGGGCAGTAGAGTGGAATGTGTTCTATTGTTTCATCCCCTCCTCTGCCACAGGAACAGGGCCTCTCTGCCATAGGCACCTTTCTCTCTCATCCCTCCAGGATTGCAGAGGTAAGTGCTTTTGCCATCTGGCAAGAGAAAATGCCCTCCATTGGCCCAGAGAGAGGCAGCTGGGGCAACAACATACCTGGAATTCTCTGAGTGTCAGCAAGCTGCCAATGTTTTGTTTTCTTTCATGTATGTGTGTGCGCTTGACCTGGTATGTGTAGACTTGTAGATGCGCTTAGCTTTGTAGCTCGCCGTAACATCATTATCTCCCCAAGGCCACAGGTGGAAGCAAGGATCGTTAACAAGGCTTGTTAGTGCACAAAACTTCCAAACCTCACTGTGAGAAAAGATAACTTGTGAGGCTTGGAACCGTTAGTTCTCATGCCCAAAGGCGCGAACGGGGAAAGCCTGGGAGCGCGCGGGAAGCCCCGCAATTGGGTACTAGTGGTTTGAATGCTTGAGTATATCCTGTACCATAGTTTGTGTTCTCCATTCTGAACAGTGATTCTGTTATGCACCTTTCAGCTCTAATAAAGTTACCTTTTCCATAAAGCGTGCTTATTAAGATGCAAAGAGGAGTCTGACACTGAGGCCAGGAAAGTTGTTCGTTCAGTATCACACTGCCATTCAGTCTCCAGTAACCTTTGCTTTATAATTAATTTCACCTGCTCAAATCCCATTTTTTAAACAGTGTGTGGGGGAAAGCACTGCTTTTATCCAGGATGATTGGTAACTATCATGTAGAATCAAAGGAGTTAAGCCCTGGGGATTGTAATTTAGCTAAGCTTGGTAATGGAGGCAAGGTACACCCTAGCCACGACTTTAACCAGACCAGTCTCCAGATGCAAACTTGCGTTGGAGACACAGTGAGACAATTGAAAGATTGCTCTTAGAAATTTCGACTGGACCAAGGGTAAAAAGCAGGAAGATGGTGGTCCTAGTCTTGCCCCATATAAAAGTTGAGACAATGCTTTGGCCTGGAATAGTTTAAGAGCAGCTGGTATGTATTGTCCTCCCTTAGAATGTAGGAGTTTAACTATGCCATGAGTGGATTTTTGGCCTATGTCGGTCACATACTCATAATGGGCTTTCCTCGCCCCAGAGGCTTGTAGTAGAACCCCCGAGTACTTAAAACTTGCCACCTCTTCTATCTTGCGGCCATTTATACTCCATGATCTAATTTTGGGCCTCTGGCTGAATGTCATGATTTCAGTTTTTTGATAATTTATCACTTGCTGACTTTCACTACAAAAGTGACTGAACGCCTTTAAAGCTCTTCTAAGTATCACTGGGATTCTTGATAAGATTACTGTGTCTTCTGCATATAATAACACAGAAATATTTTGATCTGCTAACTTGGGGGGGGGGGTGAAAGTCTGAATTACTTAGGCAGCTGTTAATGTTGTTAATTTAAAAAATAAACAGTAGTGGGGCCAGTACGCATCCTTATTTTACTCCTTTTGACGTTATAATTGGGTTTGAAAGGTGCCCTTTCCTGTTGCATCTAACCTTAAAGTATGTATTAGTATATAGAGCCTGTATTAGATATAGAAGCCTACAATCTATAGACATTGCTTCTAGTTTCTCCCATAATTTTATCCTAGAGATGGAATCAAAGGCAGTTTTCAGGTCTTTAAAAGCAGTGTACAGTGTGACTGAGCTATTGGATGCATATTTTTCAATTAAGTGCTGAATTAAGTCTAGAGTAGCTCATTCCCCCCAAAAAAACCAGCTTGTTCTTCTGTGATTAAATCTTCTTGCTCAGTCCAGCATATAACTTTATCTGAAAGATGGCTGGTATAAAGTTTTACTGATGATGCTCAGCAGGCCCATTGGTCTATCATTAGCACAATCATCCCTCCTTCCTTTCCTGAAGAACGGTAGTATAAAGCAAAGCCAGAAGTGGAGCCCACCATTCAGTATTGTTTTTTAGAATCTCTGGAGGGATGCAGTCATGTGGCAGACCTTTGTGTCATAGTCACATGCCACCATCTGGTGCATGATATTGTTCAGTTTCTCCAAGATGAGCTCAACTAAGGTCTGAACACCAGAGCACTAGGGCAAAAGGTGCAACAGTTTCCACTACCCTTTTTTTTACCTAGGCCATGCCTTTTTTCTGACCTTCCTTGGATTAATGAGTGTTTTAAAGTGGTCCACAAGTTGCTTGCACATGACCTCATATCTGTCACTTGTGCTAGCTGACTCACAAAATAATAATTTTGGTGGGTATTATGGCAGCTTACAGGGTTTTTTGTTTTCAATGCATTAAACTTGATTTTTCTCTTTTTTTCAGGTTCACATTCTGAGTTTACAGTGTGTATATATTATATTGCAGCGCATATTTATTTATTTTTATTTATTTTATGACATTTATACCCCGCCCTCCCCGCGTATTTTGCTGATTGAGATTGTTTTGGGAGTGCACTTTTAAATCTGAGTGGCTGAAAGACAAAAAAGACAAAAATGAATATGTTATATCTGAATGGGGATGGGAAAAAGCGAAGGAGAAATGTTTTGTGTTGTTGGTGCGAAAGGATTTAGTATCAAACAGGGGTCTGAAGCCGTTGAACAGCAAGGCTCCCTCTAAGCTGTGGAGTCTTGTGAGCAAAATTCTACTTTGTGAGCGACTGGCATTAAAGTTGTGAGTGAACGATTTGGCTACTACAGAGCATAAATTAGTTTGCTCTGGAGCCATCCTTCCTGAGCTAAGACAAAAAAATGTGTGAGCTGGGGGCTAAAAAACTGTGAGCTAGCTCACACTCAGCTTAGAGGGAACACTGTTGAACAGCAAGCTGCCTCTCTTGAACATCAGGATGAGTGCAAGAATCAGCTGATCTCAGAATCAAGAGACTCTCAGCTACGTCTGTCAGGGGTTCATCCTGGTGCACCGGAGGAAACTAGTTCTGGTGGCCACACCGTGTCCACAGATTGCGAAGGAACGATTCCACTTTACAGTTTACTTTGCTTTTGGGCCATCTTGTGAACATATTGGGGAAACGTCCCAGTTTATGTTTCCAAATGCAGTGCCCCAACATTTTTCCCTTTCAAGGACAAAGGCACGGCCTCTAACAACAAATGTGCTGGCCCCATGCATCAGAAAACAGTTCCTGAAGGAATTTAATGGTCAAACCACCAATGCAGCATCTTACAAAGAATTGCAGGTAGCTGTTAGATACTGGTCACCAACCAAAAACATGAATGTGACAAAAAGACCTCCAGACTCCCCCCCCCCCTCCAGTCTTCTTTTAATGGGTTCAGCAACAGCTAAAGATATTTACAGTAAACTGGATGAAGCTTTGGATTTGGTGCAACTTCCTAATTCAAAACTGCTAACGCTAAGTAATGATGGGCCAAGTGCCAACAAGGCTGTCACTAAACTCATGAGTGATTATTGCTTTACAACTGTGTTGACCCCCTAACCTTAACCTTATTACTTAGTGTCACTTTGCATATCTTGATCATCATCATGTTGCATGTTAATTTGCTGTTCATTCTCTGGCTATAAGTTTGAACCTTGCCTGCCATTCTAAAGTATTTGATAAAGTGTGCATGCACTCGAAAGCTCATATCTTGAATAAACATTTGTTGGTCTTAAAGGTGCCATTGGACTCTAAAATTGTTGTACTGCTTCAGACCAACACAGCTGACCAACTGGATCTACCTTTTACTTTAGTGATCTTTGAACAAGCCCATCCTCAGAAATCTTCAATGTTTAGCTCCAGCACAGAGACTCGAGGAAGGAGCCCATAAGGATATAGTGAAAGTAGCAGCAGCACTCCCGATGGATATTCCACTGGACATGATTGCAGATGAATGGAAACTTCTTAGACTTGAGGGTGAAACTGCCAGTGAAACTTGTCGCATAGATACATACTGCAATCAGTTCTTTGAAAAGACAATACCCATCTGGAGTTCCAAAATACTCACTGGTTACCCAGATGGTGAAAGCAGCATTATCATTATCACATGGTACTGCGGACATAGAAAGAGGATTTTCAAAATCTGGATGTATTTTGACCAGTGAAAAGGCCAGCATGTCAAAGAGAACTTTGAATGCCCAGCTGATGGTTAAAGAAACTTTATATCATGTATAGAAAAATAAGGTATACCATAAAAACGTTATATCATGTATACAAAAATAAGGTATACCATTGTAAGGGATGAGAGAAATGAGTGTACAAATTGCCAAACCCCCAGCGATAAGAAAAGAGTGTAAGTTTGGGCAGGATTCTACCTTAGGGAGAGAGGCTGCGCGCCATGGTAATTACCAGCAGCTGTAAGGTTTGGATATCTAAAGGGAGTTTCAGCAGATAAGATAGGCTTCTTACAGGACGCAACACATTTTGTTTGGTGTGGATCTGATGAATAGTCCTGGAAGACGGCCCAGATGGCCTTCCCAGGCTGACTCGGCTATGCAACATACTACCAGGAATGATTGGGGGAAAAGCTGCAGCTTCCTTTTATGAATGGTCATTTTATTTTTGTAAGTTACCTATTTTATTGCCAACGGCTTCAACGAGGGCTGTTTTCTGCTCTGCATACAGCCCGTGAGTGTAAAGAATGTTTTATTTATTAAATGAACTGTTTTAACAAATGTTTTCCCTGCTGCTGGGAGCTGCGTCTGTGATTGTATCATTAATTGGCAAGCTGAAGCGAACCCACAAGGTCCGTTCGACCTGATAACCATAAAAATTTTATATCATGTATACAAAAATAAAGTATATAAAAAGGAGCTTTTACAGATGGCAAGAGCAGCTCATGTTCATTACAAGCAATATTGTGATAAAGTGTGTGTCATTAAAGAGAAAGAGAAGAGAGAGAGAGAGAGAGAGAGAGAGAGAGAGAGAGAGAGAAAGAAAGAAAGAAAAAGAAAGAAAGAAAGAGAGATTTAAGAAGATAGTGAAAAGGATAGTGTACAAGAGAAGGAAGTAAAACTGAAAAAGCTGACAGGAACAGAACAAGAAGAGGATGATTGCTCAAACATTGCTCAGTGATGCAACAAAATGTGTAAAGGAGGCTGCTGAGAAAAAGGATATTGTAGGATTGAACATGGCACAGTTCATGCTAGAAGGAGTGGAGAAAGCAATGGAAGAAGAGGACTAGGGGGAAAATGCTTGCGGATGCAGTGCAGAAAACTGTTGAGGAAAGGAAAGATCATTAATAACTTCTTTTTTCAGCAAAAAACAAAAGATAAAGTAAAAGCAAAGACAAGCCTTACCTTACAGTAATTATGTTTTGTTGTCATGATGATTACTTTATGTATGTTTTTGAATATGTTTGGCTGTTTTGTTATCTGCAGCATGTGATTATTTTTAAAAGGGAATCTTTTTTTGTACAATAATGAGAACATTGTTCCATTTTTATTTTAAAAAAATTCAATAAAAGGTGTGCGATGGTTGACTGTGGGGACGGTGGAGGTGGCCATTTTAATAGTCATTTTTAATGAAGTTCTAGTTTTTAAAAATGCTAACTTATCAGTAGGCTGAAATTAAATAGTTCAGTAATTTGTCAGGTTTTTGTCAGTATTTGTTCAGAGTTTGTTTCTTTAATGTTTGGTCAGTAAAATTAGTATTTTTCACCCTCTAACTATTTTCCACCCTTGATATTTTAATCATATACTAAATATAATGATGTTGGGTCTACAGCTGGACAAAATTCAGTGCAAGAAGTTCCTTCTTTTGGTTGATCTTGTCTTGATATTAATGACATTTATTCATGTATGGACTTCCTAATGCAGCATGTCTGTGACTCAGGCCATGGAGTGGCTAATTGAACATGCAGATGACCCAGCGGTTGATGCCCCTCTACCAGGTCAGTTCTTGGTCGAAAATGCAGCAGGAACAGATGCATCCACCATTCAGGCAGTTGCTGGGGCAAGCCTTGATGTGAACAGAGAAGAGCCGAAGGATGATCTGACAGAGATATTCAAGAAGATACGCAGGAAAAGAGAGTTTCGTCCTGATCCACGGGTACTGTAGGGTGTGTGTGCACAGTGTGTTAGCTGTACAATAAGTTTGAATATATCTCATTGGCAGGGTACATGATCTTGACCAATGCAGTTGAAATTTGCATCTTAATGCGCTACTGGGAATTTTGTGGTACTTTTACTTGCTGTTCTCTCTGTCTCTCTGTCTCTCTCTCTGTCTCTCTCTCTCTCTCTCTCTCTCTGTCTCTCTCTCTCTCTCTCTCTCTCTCTCTCTCTCTCTCGTCGTATGTTAGTGAAGACTGACTGGGGGAAACAAATGATGAAGTGTTCTGTAAACCACTGCTGCTGGGTGGATTACTGATCTCAGGTTCAGTCCCAGGTGTTTCCCATCAGAAAGGGTCTGAAAAAGACCTGAAGACCCTGATGAACTGCTGCTGGTCAGTGTGGACAATAACTGGCCCAGGTGGTCCCGTTGTCTGGTTCAATGGAAGGCAGCTCTATACATTTATATATGTACTAGGAAAAAGTCCTGTTGTGGAAATAAATACAACGGCCTCTAGAAAGAGGCTCTGGGTGGGTGCCCCGGCCTTGGACACTCAGTATCAATTTGCTGTGGCGACCTCAGCAGGGTATAATGACACTGAGTCCACCATTTTCTCCAGAGGAACTGATCTCCGCTACCTAAAGAACAGTTGTAATTTTGAGTGATCGCCAGCCCTCACCTGGAGATTGGCAACTATGGTTCCCCATCTCCTTCCCAGCCAACCATCAACCTACCTTTATTTCCCCCTCACTCTTCAGCTTTCCACCCCACACACACCTGCAGCCTCTCCCGTGCTCTGAAGTCCTGACTACTACGTCACATTGGCTGTCATACGGGGGCTACCTCAGCAGCATATAAGGATACAGAGCCCACCATTTTCTCCAGGGGAACTGATCTCTGCCGTCTGGAAAGCAGCTGTAATTCTGAGGGATCTCAAGCCCTCACCTGGAGATTGGACACATTTTACCTCAGAACAGCAAACTGTTTAGAATGTTAGAGGCAAAAGCCAATCAAGTCGCATATGAGGCAAAGGCCAATGAGGCTGCATATGCAAATAACCTCTGTGTTCTGACTGGTTATAGGGGGGAGAGGAATAGCAAACTGTTTAGAATGTTGGAGACGAGACTCAAGCAATGCAGCCAGTGGATAGGGACAGATTCTGAGTGACACACCAGAGCGCCAACCAATTCCGGACCGTGTGGAATGTTCTAGAGAAGTGCCACCACCATTCGGCTTTTATATATAAGGGAGATGTCGATAGTATTGTCTCGACCTGATGCTTCCCCTCTTAGGGGTTTTTCCCCTCTTCTGCAATTTATATATTGGTATAAATAATTTTTAAAAACCTGAATTGTAGAGATCGGTGCTTAGTTTTAAGAGAAAATAGTGACTATCCAGACAGACGATCCAGATATCTGTGCAAAACACTTCAGTGCATGGATAGCCGGGACAAGTTTTCCCTGCCGGCAGCATCCCTTGCACATCACTTTGTACTGCTGTCCGTGTGATGTTTTGGATTCTAACTTATATTTTCTGACTTCATGATCAGCTGACAGTGCCAAGTATAGTGTGGGAAGAATGTCAAAAAGGGGAAAGTATAGAGGTACCACCAACTGACAGATAGGTCAAGGGGTTTCCGCAGTTCTTGGGGCTATGACATGATCTGAGTCCCGGGGATAGGAGGCTGGTGCTGCACCTCATGGCCACCTGGAGGTTGGGATCAGTTAGCAATGGGCATCCTGCCATCTCACAGGTTCCTCACTATCCCTAGCCTCCAGCCAGATAAGGCCAGAAACAGCAAAGGTCTGGGCATCATATCTTGGACCTTGGTGAGGATATCTGCAAACCTTCCTTTGTCGTCACAGGCAGCCTGGATAATCAGGAGCTGTGGTAGCACATTCAGCTCCTGTGTACTGTGGGTCCTCATGTAATGAGCAATATGTCCCAGGCCCCAAGCAAACCGGGGGAGATGGCAACTTTGGCAAAGCCAGCACACAATCGGTTGAGCTTGGCTTCAATGGTGGGAAGATGCAAATGCTGGAGCAGGGCATCCAAGAATGCATCCAGTCAGCTGAGGACTTGCAAAGTGATGAACCTGAACTGTGTCTGCTGTATTGCATAGGTTGCAAATGAAAAGAAAATTCCATACACTGGGGAGAAATGCACATCACTTTGCTGGAATGGAAAGGAAAAAGATGTTCAGGTTCTCCTATTCCCAAATTATCCTCTATAGGTTTAGAAGAGTGTAAGTCTGCATAGGATGGCACTGTTAATCACCTTGCCCTGGACAGGATAGGAATGTGTTCAGTTTCCCCTATAGCTCAAGTGGGGAAATGACAGTTATCTGTGGAAGAATTTACCATTTTGTTAGAAAATGAATGGTCAATTTCTACCTCAGTTCCAAGCTGAAGAGGCTAGCTCAGTAGTCATTCATATGGTAATTAATGCAAGTGGTGAATTTCCAGCTGGAGAGACGTCATAAAATCATAGAAATCACAGAGCTGGAAGGGCCTCACAGGCCATCCAGTCCTCAATGCAGGATCAGCCTAGAGCAGCCCTGACAAGTGTTTGTCCAGCCTGCCAGTGAGGGGGAGCACCTCCCTAGGCAGCTGATTCCACTGTTGCACAACTCTTACTGTAAAAGATTTGGTGGGCTTGGAAGAGGAAAGCAGCCATGCATGAGAAAGAGAAGGGGGGGGGATCCATGCACAAACATGCAGTCTGAAGAGAGGTGACTGGCCTGATGGATACAGAAGTTAAAACTGGTATGAACAACTCAAAGCCAATACTAGAATTCTGCCTCTTTAACATCATAGGGATATATCTAAATTTAGGGGAAGGAGTGAGTTTATAACTGTTTGATTTTTCCTGTATTCAGATGCTTCTTGTATTTTGCTGCTCAACTAAATGCTTGCACTTGTTATTTCCAATTATTGCTTGCATATGTTTTTCATTTTCTGGAATTGGAGTTATTCAAATTTTGGGACACACTTACCAAAATTCAAAAGAGAAGTCATCAGTCTGCATAGCTCAGTGGGAGATTTCTAAGTTTTCTCTATTTTTATGTTGGACATGGAATAGGAAAAGAAATTTTGCATTTGGAACAGAGGATCTGACTGCAGGTGTTTAGACTGCAGTGCTTTTAGTGGCCTGCTGTTGGCAGTGGAAAGTAAACCTTATATGTGAAAGGGAATCAGTGATATAGAGCTGAAGAGTTAAACTCCTCATTGAGGTCTAACAGCTTGAGACCTGAGACAGCTGATGATTAAATAAAAACAAGGGCCTGTAGGGTTGTTTTCCCACAGCTAGAAAAATGACCTCTGCTTCCACTTTGGCTGAAGTCAGTCTACAGCCTGTCCTTTTTCTTCTGTTGCAGACCAAGGTTACTAGGGCAGGTGTGCTGGGAGGAAGTGGTTTACGATCAGAATCTGATCCAAAGTAGTAATGGACTCTGCAATTCTGGTTATAGGCCGTCATTGCCTTGATGGAGATGGGCTTTGATGAAAAAGAGGTGGTGGACGCACTCAGAGTGAACAGCAACCAGCAGAATGCAGCTGTGAGTAGACCCCTTCATGTCACTTTTTGGTTTTTGTATTATCTTCTGCTGTAACACCCATCCTGCCGACATCCTGTTTCAGCCACCTGGCTCATCTAATGGAGCAGTCTCTGTATTAGCTCTTTGAACTTGCCTTCTTGTCAGTCCCCATCTTTGTCTACTCCTTTGGTGCACAGGCAGACCAAAGGGAAACCGAAGAGGGCCTGACTCCCCCCCCCCATCCCATTTTTTGTTTTTGAAAACTGGCGGGTGGCTTTTCACATTTGAGTCACTTTGCTGGGAAAATGAAGACAGCTGAATGTGGCTCTTTTTAAAAATATATTTGTTGTTAATTTTTATACAGACTGCCATTATTAGTAGTAGTATTAGTATTATTATCAGTACAGTCCATCTTTCTCAATGGGACTCAAGGTGGGTTACAATTATAATAAAAAAACCTTTCAGTCAGTCAGTAAGCAGGTTATAAAATATGATAACATCTGATTCTAGCAACAAATAATCAGCTATAGAAAAATACACATACAGAAAAAGTTGCCATTTAATGTACGTTTATAAAAATATTTCTCTTTGTGGACTCTGCACATTTGGAACAGGCAATACACAATGTAAGACATGAGATTCTTTTCCAGCCACTGGCCTTCTCATCTGCAGGGGACGGTTTGGTTTGCCCCTTCTGTAACATTGAATTGTATCCTATTGCTGCTCTGTGGATGGAAGAGAAAGGACAGGCAATCTCACAGGCTGCCAGCCCATATGACTTTGTCTGTGAAGCCCTCTTCCCACAGCAGTTCCACTGTGGGGGGAGCAGGAGGATGGATACGATAAGTTATTACAGAAGTATACAGATATTACAGAAGATACAACAGAAGTATAGTGTCCAGATCACAAGATGTGACAGTACCACTTTACTCTGCTCTGGTTAGACCTCACCTAGAGTATTGTGTTCAGTTTTGGGCACCACAATTTAAGAAGGATACAGACAAGCTGGAATGTGTCCAGAGGGGGGCAACGAAGATGGTGAGACCAAGTCCTATGAGGAAAGGTTGAAGGAGCTGGTATGTTTAGCCTGGAGAGGAGACGACTGAGAGGTGATATGATAACCATCTTCAAGTACTTGAAGGACTGCCAGCTACAGGTTGGTGTGGAGTTGTTTCTGTTGCCCCATGTTAGCCAAATTGCTCTAAGATAATAGAGCAATTTGGCTAACATGCTTAGTTCTTGTGGCCCTTTTTTACACATGCTGATTGCCACTTTGGGGGTCAGGAAGCAATCTTGGAGGGTTTTTTGTCATCTTGCGGCATGAAACAGTGGTCACTGAGGGTGTGGAGGGGGAGGTATTTGTGAATTTCCTGTAATGTGCAGGGGGTTGGACTAGATGACCCTGGGTGGAGTTCCCTTCCAACTCTATGATTCTGTGATTACCCGTTTCTTTGGCATCAGCCATTGCTCTCCCAAATAACAATTTTATATTTCCTTCTGATTTCTGTAGTGTGAGTGGCTGCTGGGAGACCGGAAACCTACTCCTGAGGATTTAGACAAGGGAATTGACCCTTCCAGTCCCCTCTTCCAAGCCATCCTAGAAAACCCAGTTGTACAGCTAGGTCTAACAAACCCTAAAACGCTACTTGGTAAGTGGTGCTGCTGGTATGCAAAATATGTATAGGGTTGTAGTTCATTGGAGTGATTTCTGTTTTAGCAGTGCCATTACCATTTCACAAGTTCATTGCTAGAATGGCTTTTTCCTTAGTCCCTCATCAGGTGGTTATTACAAGGCCAATTCCACAAAGACGTTCCACAAAAGTTCTGAATTAATGTGTAGTCCAGACAGTGGAGAGGCATCTGAAATATTGTAGTATAAGCCTTTGTGAGCCAGAGACCAGCTATCAGATACATTAAGTATTTCATTCAGTCAGCAGAGGTATAACTACTCAGAAACTGCAAATAGCAGAGAGGAAGGAGGCCCAGTTTACCAGGACTATGGGTGTATAATGTCCAGCTTCACACTTGGATAAAAATATATGTCTGTATCTGCAAAAGTTTCTGAATGAATTTCCATAGCATTCAGTATTATTAATTCAGAAATTATTAAGAAGAGAAGAAGAAGAGACTGGATTTATACCCCGCCCTTCACTACCCAAAGGAGTCTCAGAGTGGTTTACAAACTCCTTTCCCTCCCCCTCCCCACAACAGACAACCTGTGAGGTAGGTGGAGCTGAGAGAGCTCTGACAGAAACTGCTCTTTTTCAAGAACAGCTGTGCCTGAACTATGGCTTGCCCAAGGTCATCCAGCAGGTGCAAGTGGAGGAGTGGGGAATCAAACCCGGTTCTCCCAGATTAGAGACCGTGCACTTAACCACGACACCAAACTGGCCAGATCCTTCTGGCCAAATAATTTTGGTGGGTACTGGTGTCAGGTTCCTTAGCAGGATCACACCACACACCAAGACTTCTTAAGAAGCTAAGTGTTTAATGATAGTCCATTACTAATAACAAGTATACAGCTTGTGTCAGGAATGACTGGCAATATGATGGCCACTGACATAGTAAAATCAAACATCCCCCCCATAAGCTAAGGCCAATTATTACATTTCACACGAGCGGGCAAGCAAGCGGCTGCGCGCCCAAACTGTTAAGTTTCCAGGCCAGGCAATGCTGCAGCTGGAATAGCAAGGTCAGAGCAGAGATAAGCAGCAAAAAGACAGACAGGATGAGCTGGCATGGAGAAGGAGATGCCCCCTCCACATTCCAACACCATGACAGGGTTACCTGACATCCTGCCCCTCCCAAAGTCTTCCCCCCGGTTTCCTCGGGAAACAGCGATGGAAGCGTTTAAGAAAGCGGGGGAGCGGAGACATGTTCTTTCGCCACCCATTCCCTGTGTTGGGGCACAAAAGCCACCCATTCAATCAAATAATGCAGTTTATTTTGCTTCAGTTTAGAGTCCAAAATATCAGCAACCTCATGATGCGGTTTGCCTTGCACGAGCAGTGGAGGGGGGCATGCTTGTTGCTGTCGCCAGACGTTTGGCCCAGGATCACAGCACAAAAGGCTGAAATGGAAAACAGAATGCAAATGTCTCAGATTTTTAGGCAGTACCAGTTCCACAGCCACATCATTGATTTTCCGTGATACCTTGAGGAGTCCCACAGACTTCCACCCCAATTTACGACTAGGTCATAGCCCTTTAATGTTTTTAGTGGACACATAAACTGAATCACCCGGCTGGACATCCCAGGCATCAGAACGTTTCTTATCCGCTTGAGCTTTGTAAGTTTGTTTTGCCGTATCTAAGGTTTTACACAGGACAGGACAGGCCTCTTTAAGTCATTTGCACCAGTCACCTACCTCCCCCTCCAGGAGGGGAAGGTCCAAGAGAAATGGGAGAGGCGGCACCTCATAACCATAGACCACCATGAAAGGGGATACTCCTGTCGATGAATGACATGCATTGTTATAACAAAATTCAGCCAAGGGGAGAAGCCCCTCCCAGTCGTCCTGTTGAAAGTTAGTGAAACAAGTGTTTGATTAACACGCTCCGTTTGCCCGTCCGTCTCGGGATGGTATTTGCTGCTTAAACCCCAGCTTCATGAGCTCCCCCCAAAACCTAGAAACAAATTGAGAGCCGCGGTCGGAGATTATCTTCCATGGGAGGGTGTGGAGCCAAAAAATTTGTTGCAGAAACGCCTTAGCCAGAAGACAGGCAGTCAGCAGCGACTTAAACGGGACAAAATGAGCCTGTTTCGAAAACAGGTCCACTACCACCCAAATTACAGTCTTCTCCTTACTAGGGGGTAAGTCAGTAATGAAGTCCATAGAGATCAGTTCCCATGGACGACCGGGGGTGGGAAGGGGTTGCAGAAGACCCGGGGGCTTCCCAGGGCAGGATTTGCACATAATACAGGTCTGACAGGACTTCACATATAGGGAAAGGTCCTTGCGCATTCCGGGCCACCAAAACTGTCGCTGTAACAAGTGCAAGGATTTAACTATCCCCAAATGTCCAGCTGTCAGCTATGCTGCCATGATGTTTATGGGCAAGAGTGCATCTGCTTGACCTGTGTACCAACTGCTGCTGCATTTCTTCGTTCCTTATTATCTCTGACCTTGTAGGCTGTCTGTGTAGTGTCTTCCCATCAATTACCCGTGGGATTAGTTTCGATTCCGAGCTTTAGCTTTAACGGCCTGGGAGTCAGGCCGATTGGCCTAGGCGTGGGGTGGGTGCATACGAATACCCTATAGCCCATTATGCTTGTAGGAACGTAGCCATTCCTAACAGTGATGATGTTACTGCCTCTATAGCTCTTACAATAAAGTATAACCTTATGATAAGCGTGTACTCCTTTGTTTGGCTGTGGAACCTGACATTCTGTCGTTTTGAATCAGAGAAAGGCTTTTCAGCCCTCCCAGCCGAATATTTTCAGCAATGCCGATTCATTGCCGAATCACAGTGCAATACCAATATTGGGATTCAGGAATACTGGTGTATACCAATATTTTGGGGTTTGGTATACTGGAGCCCGATAAATACAGATTTTTTTTTGTGCACACCTTTAACAAATCTTTTATCATATTCCCCCTTAAAAGTATTTTTTCTAAACCAAAAAGTCACACTCTTTAGAGTTCAAGCTTGAACCCTTGGTCTTCTTGGTTGCCCTCTTCTGTACTTCTTTAATCTCTGCAACGTCCTTTTGAGGTACGGCAAACAGAACTATGCAGAGTATTCCAAATGAGGCTGCAACATGGGCATTACAATACTGGCCATTTTATTCTCAATCCCTTTCCTAATAATCCCCAACACAGAGTTTGCCGTTTTAATTGGACACTGAATTGGCATTTTCATTTAAACTATCTACTACAACCCCAAGATCTCTCTCCTTTTCATTCTCAGCCAGTTCAGATCCATCAGCATATATTTAAATTTAGGATTTTCTGTTATAATGTACACTTACCTATGCTGAATTTAATTTACCATGTTGCTGTCCAGTCACCCAATTTAGAACGATCCTCCTGAGGCTTTTCACAGTTCACTTTAGTTTGCTTTTCACAGTTCACTTTAGTTTGCACCATCCTGAATAATTTCATATCGTCTGCAAACTTGGCCACTGCATTGCAAATAAAAAACTTATGTATGGACAAATTGACCAGCACTGATCCCAATGCCAATGTTTGTGGAATTACCACTGCTAACTTAAGAACATAAGAGATGCCAATGTTGGATCAGGCCAAAGGCCCATCCAGCCCAACATTCTATATCACACAGTGGCCAGAAATACCAGTGCCATCAGGAGGGCCCCCACTGGGGCCAGGACATTAGAAACCCTCCCACTGTTGGCCCCCCCCCCCCAAGCACCAAGGTGACAGAGCATCACTTGCCCTTGTGGCTAATAGCCACTGATGGACCTCTGCTCCATATGCTTATCTAATTCCCTTTTGAAGCCGTCCATGCTTGTAGCCACCACCACTTCCTGTGGCAGTGAATTCCAAGTGTTAATCGCTCTTTGGGTGAAGAAGTACTTCCTTTTATCCGTTCTAACCCGACCGCTCAACAATTTCATGGAGTGCCCATGAGTTCTTGTATTGTGAGAAAGGGAGAAAAGTACCTCTTTCCCATGCATAATCTTATAAACCTCAATCATGTCACCCCTCAGTCGTCATTTCTCCAAGCTAAAAAGCCCTAAGCGCCTTAAACTTTCCTCATAGGGAAAGTGTTCCAACCCTTTTATCATTTGAGTTGCCCTTTTCTGCACTTTTTCCAAAGCTATAATATCCTTTTTAAGGTGTGGTGACCAGAACTGCACACAGTATTCCAAGTGAGGTCGCACCATTGATTTATATAGGGGCATTATGATATTGGCTGATCTGTTTTCAATACCCTTCCTAATAATCCCCAGCATAGCATTGGCCTTCTTTATTGCAGTCACACGCTGTCTCAACATTTTCAGTGAGTTCCCTTCACTGCAAAAACTGGTCACTTAGTCCTACTCTCTGCATCCTGTTTAATGTTTCATCTGTAAGAGTAATTTTATCCCAGATCAGCCCAGACACAGCCACCACAGCAGCCCAGCCAGACTTTTTTGGGAGGACAGTCTGCCAGCGGTAGGGAAGGAGGGAAAGCTGAAGACAGAAGAGCAAATGAAGTTAGGTTGGTTGGTGGATGAGAAGAAAAGGAAGCTGGAAAAGAGGAAAGAGTATGGGGCTTCCAGGAAGGAGAAAGAGGAGAGAGCAAGGATATAGGGGAAAATGAGATGCCCCATTGTGGGTACCCCAATTTTTGCCTTGTAAAACTGACCTCTTGTTACATTGTATTGCAAATCACAGAGTTGGAAGGGGGCATACAGGCCATCTAGTCCAACCTCCTGCTCAATGCTCAATGCTGGATCAGCTTAGAGCACCCCTGACTAGTGTTTGTCCAGCCTCTGCTTAAAGACTACCAGTGAGGGGGAGCTCACCACCTCGTTAGGTAGCTGTGTTCATTTTTCCTACATGTTATTGAATTGTAGTTGTTGTTAAATCTCTTTAATAAAAATAGTTTATTAAGTTCCTAAGAACAGAACCCTGCTCTTAACTTCCTAAGAGCAGAACCCTGGGTCCTCACGCCTCATTCAGTCACTTATAAAGGGAAAGCTACTGGAACAGGAGTGTATAGAGGATGCTCTGGGCCCTTCCAAGGAGACCCATACCAGAGTGTTGGCATGAGTGTGAGAGCTAAATAGCCTGGCAGGCTGTTGGCCATTAGTACTCAGGGCTAAACGAGCGCCTACTGCGCATGCGCGCATCCCGTCGCCAGGATGCCATGTCCCCCTCGGCGTTGTTCCTGCAGACAGGATACCAGTAGGGGCGAGTCGGGGTGTGTTGTTCCGGTGTGAGCTCATCCCCAGCAGTACTTTGCTCTTCTGCTGGGGCCAAGTGCTCGGGTTCAGAACCAGCCGTGACAACAACTATTTGAACCGGCGCACTTAGAGCCGTGCCCAGACCACGCCTAACCTCCAGTGTGACCACAGCCTTAGACACAAATGGACCAAGAGCCTGAGAAAAAGTGTGTGTGAGATCATCCAGAAAGGGCAGATTTCATTAGCAGAATGGTGTAAAATACCCATCAGCAGACAAGGAGCCCTCACTTCAGGAAAAAGCAAATGGGTGCTGGTACAGGGAGGGGTGGCTGTTTGTTCCCTGAGCCTTGTGGGTTTAGATACGCTCTTTCAGATGCAGACTGGGAGGAAATTAGCAAGGTATCATGAACGCAGTACTAGGTCAGGCAAGTGAGGGCTCCTTGCTAATTTCCTCCCGGTCTGCATCTGAGAGAGTGTTTCTAAACTTGCAAACCCAAGGCTCTCCATCAGTTTGCGGGACGTCTTTGGCAGGGCTGTGCATAACTACCGCCACCCCCCAGCTGGGAGGGAATGAACATAGAGTCCACTACCGCCTCCTTTTGGCTGGCATGTTGAGGTAGGCAGGACAGAGCATCAGCCAAGAAGTTGGACTTCCCAGGGAGGTGCTGAAGAGTGAAACAAACTCTGCCCATCTTAATTGTTCGGCGTTGAGGCTCCAGGGGGAGGTGCACAAAGCTTCTAGTTTTTTGTGATCTGTCCACCTCCAACCAATGCTGCCAAGTGGTCAAGGCAAGTTTGATGGCCACGGCCTCTTTGTCCCAAACCTCCCAATTCCGTTCAGTGTGGGTAAACATTTTGGACACATAGGCAAGGGGGTGGAGCTTCCCATCATCCCCCTTTTGCAGGATCGCCCCCCCCCCCATGGCCACATCGGAGGCATCCACCTGGACCACAAATGGTTTTATGTTCATCTGGGTGACGTAAAATGGTTTCCAAGGTGAAAAAGCCCTTGAGCTGCTCGAAGGCTTGCTGACATTCAGGGGTCCAGGCCAGCTTAGCGCATGGTTTAACAGTCTTGGGCCCCTTTTCCTTAGTTTTCAGCAAGTCAGTGAGGAGAAGGCTTACTTGCACAAAGTTGGGGATGAAAGGGCTGTAGAAATGTACGAATCCTGAGAATGACTGTAGCTGCTGCCTAGCGCGGGGGGGGGGGTGTCCCTCCCCAGTACATACATTCCCAGCCCACGCCCCGATATGCGATACCCCAAGAAATCCACCTCCATTTTGTGGAATTCATACTTGGACAGTTTGGCAAACAGCTTATGGTCATACAGAGTCTGTAGCACCTCCCTCACCAATGTCACATGGGAGTCCTCATCTTGGGAATAGATCAAGATATCAGCAAGATAAACCAGGACCCCCTTGAACAAGTGCTTGTGCAACATTTCATTGATCAAGTTCATAAAGACCCCCAGGGCCCCCATTAGCGCAAAGGGCATGACCAGGTATTTGGACTGCCCCAGCGGGGTATTGAATGTCGTTTTGTGTTCGTCACCCTCCCGGATGTGGTCTCGGAAGTAGGCATCATGCAAATCCAGCTTGGAAAAAATCTTCCCCCTAGCAGCCTCAGCCAAGAGGTCTTTGATCAGTGGGAGGGGGTAAGCGTTAGACATAGACCCCGATAGTCTGTGCACAGCCTCAAACCCCTGTCTTTCTTTTTCCAGAAGAGGACAGGGGCAGCATATGGCGAGGAAGCTGGCTGGATGAAGCCCCAAGCTAGGTTTTTGTCAGTTAATTTACGTAGTTCCTCCTTCTCTACTGGAGAGTTGGTGAACAGTTTCCCCTTGGGCATACTATGTCCCGACAAAAGCTCTATAGCACAGTCTGTTTTATTTATTTTATTTATTTATCATTAAATTTCTAGCCCGCCCTCCTCGCAAGCGAGCTCAGGGCGGCTCACAAATAGGGCACATGCATATAGGGCACAAATAGGGCAATACATAAAAACAAAATTAAAATTAAAAATGGTGAGGCACCTCATCTGCTTCTTCTTCCTCAAACACCCGAGCCAGATCCCTGTACTCCGCTGGTATGTTGTTGAGTTCCTCTTGGGCTAAGCAAGCACACTCTGGAAGCACCAGCGGAGCCGCGCCCCCCACTCTTGTTTCCACTCACGGTCATTGCATTTGGGGTCCAGGAAGTGAAGCATGCCCACGCTCCACTGAACATTAGGGTCGTGGTCTTGCAGCACACCGATTTTGGCGCCAGAAGCTTTCCGCCCACGTTGAGTTGGAGAGCTCTGGGTTGCTTGGGTTGCCCCTCCCAGTTTTGTCCGCCCCTTGGAGCCGCGCCACTCCCTCCCTCCCTTTCCCTTCTCACTGGGGTGAGGTCGGTAGGACAGCTCATGGCATAGTGGCCTGGCTCACCACATCTCAGGCAGAGCCCCTACTTCATCCATTGGTCTCATATGGTTTCACGGGGTTTGTTGCACGGCCCTTTTGCTCCCCCCCCCCAGGGTTCTCGGGGTTGCCTTCTGGATTAGGGTAGCCCAGTTTTCGGCTTCACAGCCATCCTGGATCCATCCACTGAGGATCAAGGGATTTTCCTGGGTCAGCACCTTTTCCAAGATGCCATGGTTCAGGCCCAGCCAGTAGTGCTCAATGAGGACTTCTTCTGGCCATCCCTGCACCTTAGCCACGTGCATCTTGAATTCATTAGAGAATTCACACACCGACCGGTTCCCCTGACGTAGCGCCCCCAGCTGGGTTCTGGCTTTCTCTAGCTCCAGGGGGTCTTGGTACTGCCTCTGGAGAGCCCATAGGAACGTGTGCACATCACAGAGCTCAGGGCCTTGGATATTGTGGAGGCCCACGAAACATTCGGCCACTCTCTCTCAGCCGTGAGCTGATATAATCCACCCGGTACTCATCTGAGGTGAGGGTGGGTCCCCAATCTCGTAGGAACGTTCGCACCTGTAGCAAGAAGAGAGCCAACTTTTCCGGGTTGCCACCAAAGGGGGAGATGCAAATCATTGCCAATATACCACAAAGCAGCCACCAGTCAACTATCATTCTGAATGAATATTTTATACTGATTCTGTGTAATTTATTATTATCCTTTATTCTGCAGCCTTTGAAGATATGCTTGAAAACCCCTTAAACAGTACTCAGTGGATGAATGATCCAGAAACGGGGCCTGTCATGTTACAGATTTCTCGTATCTTCCAGACACTCAACCGTACATAGAAGGGACAACTCAGTCTGCCCCTTTCGGACTCTGATCTTGGCTTTGCAGTTTCTGAACAATAGGAGGCTCCAACTGTCAGCTGAGACAAAGTGAATGAAAGCAATGTTTGGGGCGTTTTGTCTTCTTTGCATAGGTGTATTGAAAACAGAACATTTAAACAAAATTGGCTTACATGCTGTGTGATTTTAGTGTTAATCTTAGAGGGTTTGAAAACTTGAGAGGGGAATGTTTTCAAGTGTTTATATAGAAACATAGGATGATACATCCAAATATAGAAAGGATTTTACAACTGTCTTAAAATCTGATAATGTGCAGAATGATAAAACAGCTCCTGTTCTTAATTTTCTGGGTAGTAACATGTAGAGATCACTGATGCCAGTTTTCTGGCCAGTAGGATGTGCTCCAAGTTACAGTTTACAGATCATAATCATACTGTTCACCTCTGCTTACTATTAAGGTGAACACTTTGAGTGTTCTATTTTTATTAAATGTGGCATGAAAGATTGGGAAAGAAGGCGTGATGCTGTGGCCCATTCCCACATGTTTATAGTACATTAAGAATTGTCCTATTACAGAATCAGACCCATGAAATCCAAGCCTTGGTTTACAGCATCAATTTGTATCTGGAATTCTTTCAGTGAGAGGGAAACACACTTCGTAAACACCTTGATGTACAAGTAGGCAATCCTGTTGGCCTGAGTGCCAACAAAGCAGTCTACCTGTGAAGATGTTGTACCAGCATATGGGACGAGAAGAGCTATACATGGGAAGCAAGCAGTGCTACCTACCAGCTCCTCAGAGGCTTACCTTGCACCTGGGTGAGGGTCCAGGCTATGGGTTTGGCGTAAACCAAGCCCATAACCTTTTCCCATGCCACTGAGCCCAGAAACACAGCCAGTCCTTTGGGTTTCCCTTGGTTGCTTGGGTGGAAAACTGGCCCCAAATGCCTAGCAAAATGGTCTGGCATGCTGCTGTCCTGTATGTCTTCTGGGGATGGCCTGCCATTGCCTTAGTGCAATCTGCATTTCCCAGAATTACCTAGAAGTTTCGCAGATTAATGATGCTGCTGAAACTTGGAATGGTGGTGATTCTGAACTTGATCAGCTGGTATATTCCAGTGTAAGTACCACCCCCACCCCCACCAAAGTTCTCCAGTTTGGATTATCTCCCATGGTCTGTCTGTTCCAGGCAGCAAAGAGAAAGGCTTCCAGAACTCCCTTGCTGCTGCTGCCACCACCCAGCTGGGTAAGAGAAGGGGAGAGTGAGGGGGCCATGCTTTTGGAGGCGAAACGTGTCAGTCTGCCCCTTTTGGGAGACACGGCAGTTCAGGAGCCAGGCCTCCCAACTAGGGGTTGTTTCCCAGTCGCCTTAAACAAGCCCCAGAGTGTGTTTCCACCTGAGAAAGGGGGGGGGGACTCTGATGCAAATTTACTCTCCAACAGAAAATGTGGACTCAAAGAACTCAACATATCCTCTTTTTTGTCAGTATATTAAAAATGAAAGCAGATTAAATAACGGCATGAAAAAAGCAAAGCAGTCTCTCATTGAATCATTTGCGGCTCCTTGGCCCCCCACCAACTGGCATTTGGTTACAAAACTCTATGCCATTACTGGCTAGTAATGGATTATGATCAGCAATTGTTTTTGACTGGATTTTAATGGATTTCAAATTCGTGAGTAAAGTTTTAGATGTCCAGCGCATATCCATTCTTGAGTATGTCTGGTGTCTGTCTGGAAATAAGGTATTCTCCATAAATCCTCTAAGGCTGCGGTCACACGCAACATTAGCCACGCAAGAGATACGGAAGACAAGCGGAGTTTCCGGTCGCGATCTCACCAGCACATCTGGGAAGCGTAGTGCTTCCGTGGCACAACTGAGGCTTCCTGCCGAAAAAGCGCAGCAAAAAACTAGTACCTTGGAGGTACTAGTTTCCAGAAACTGCGGGGCAAGGGCGGGCGTCTGATCGCGTTTCCGGTGGTATCCGGCGCCCGCCCATGTCCCCTTGCGGAAAAGGGTTTTTTTTCCCCCACGTCTCCGTGGATGCGCACACGCACCCAACGGAGCATGCGCATTCGTAGTGTACACAAAAAAAGAAAACCAGTTCGCCGCGCCGCGCGCTTCTTCATTGCGCGCAGGCGTGTGTTGTGATCGGCACCTCTCCCTTGCCATGGAACCTCCACAGTACCTCCACAGAACCTCCACAGTAGGTCTGATCGCTTTACTGCATGTTAGTTTGCCCCGGGGCAAACAGCCACACTTCTCCTCTGCAGTTTCCTGCCTGTGTGGCAGGGGCCTAGGTTCTGTATTTGCATTCTTGGGTAGTTTTCCTCCTGCAGACTTTTTAGATCTATCCTTCTTTGGATCCAATACTCCGTTCATGTCACCAAAAATTAAAATTTCTCCTCCTTGAAAGTCCAGAAGTGATTGGAAAAAAATTCATAAAACTTTTCCTTTGCATTATTAGAGGCATAAATTGTGAAGCCAATGTGAAGATTCTATCTTCTCTAGATATATATATTGTATTGCTGTTAAACGATCTGATATGAAAATCATGACACCTTTTTTCTTCTCTGCAGATAAGGCTGCATATACTTTGCCCACTTTATTGTTTTCCAAAATTTTCTCATGTACCCTTTTAACATGAGTCTCTTGCATACAAATTATAGATAAATTTTGTATCTTCTTCGTGGTCTCTGTGCATCACACCCTTGGGATATACTGCGTCTGCGCTGACCCTGCTCGGTATCGGTAGCTAGCAAAAGGGATTTTCGCGCCTCTCCCAGGTCTAGCGCCGGCCCCCACTGCGCATGACCAAGGAGGGGCACGCAGATCCCGCCAGTTCTTCTCTGACCGCCACGCTGGTAGGACGCCTTTTTGCTTCGGTCTGATAAGTATTAGTTTCACTTTCAAAAAATCATGTAGTTAGTTCGTTTTTTTACTTATTTTTCATTGTTTAGTACTTTCCTTCGGGTTTTTTCTTCGGACTTCCCTCCACTGGCCTATGGCCTCGCGGTGGGGTTGCTTTAAGCAGTGTAAGACCTGCGGCCTTAAGATATCCCCCACCGATGGACACACTCTCTGTCTTGTCTGCTTGGGGGAATCCCACTGCGTGTCTACCTGCGGGCATTGCCGAAAAGTTTCCAATCAAACCAGGAAAAATAGAGCAACCCGCTTGCAGTTGGCCCTGATGGAGAAAGCTCTCTCCCCTCAGTCCTCTTCACCGCTAGACATGTCCGGACACGCCTCAATGTCGACTTCGGCTCCGGACACTTTCATTCCCGCTTCGGGAACATCGACGTCGACAGTCGTAATCGATGCTTCGGCACCGAAAAGGTCTATGTCGACCAGCGGCAGCCCCGTACCTTCCAAGATCCGGAAGCAGGGGATATCTGATGCCATCTCTTCCAAGATCCGGAAGAAGGGCAAAGAGTCGAAAAAGGCTGTAAAACATACCAAGGACGTTGATCCAAAAGTCCATAAGGTTTCAGCCAGTCAAGGTCGAGCTCCCTCACCGGAGCAGAACCAACTTGTCGACTCCGACTTCGACATGGAGTTTACCCAACAGATACCCATGTCAGGATTTGATCGCTCCAGTCACCAGTCTTCTAACGCCTCACCAGCTCCTGATGATTGACACCGACTGTCTTCACCCCCGATGCCTTGGGATGAAAGACAGTGGCATTATCTATATGGAAACCGATACCCATATCCTTGAGTCTTTCCACCACCTCCCCCAGTAGAGTGGGATCATCAGTCGATGTCGTCTCGATTATCTCAATATCAAGACCGATCGTGGGGCGTGGCGTCGAGCTCAACCAAGATGGACGCCTGAACCCTCGGCTCCGCTTAACCCCTCTCTAAAACTGCGAAATAAGCCCGCTCTTCATCATGCTGTGTTATCCAAAGGTATGGGAAGATCCCTTCGCATTAAAGGTAAACCTTCTAAGCCAAAACAAAAATCGATCCAGCCGTTTTTCTCGCCCCAGAGCTCTCCCTCGTCTGGCAAAAAACCTGCCGAAGCCAAAATGGCGGCTAGTTCTCCTGACTTGAGAGATGAGGGCCTTCCGATTTAGCGCGTGGAGTTTTATGTGTCACCCCAATCGCTCGAAAAGAATATGACAGCCACACTCACCGAATTGATTAAACCGATTACAGCTCAATTAACTGACTTGAGAGCTGATATAACTAATGCAACTCAAACGGCTGAAACGGCGCTGGAGGCCAGTATAGCCCTCCAAAACGACTCTCAGTACTTTTATAAGAGGGAGGAATGGGCGACCGATCACATCATCATTTTAGAAAACCAATTTCGGGCTAATCATTTGAAATTTCAAGGCCTGCCCAAGAAAGTTGAAGCACAAGAAGAATTAAAATCATTTCTGGCATCCTGGTTAGCTAATGAACTCCAATTAGAAAATGGCGTCGCGCCTCTGATAGACTGGGCATACAGAGCCGGCCAACTTAGAGATCAGCCCAAGGCATTGCCGAGAGACGTGATTGCCAAATTCCCTGACTCCCCCACCAAGTCTAAGATTTTCGCTATTGCCCGGGAGAAAGGATCCTTAAACTACAAAGAGCTGAAGATTTCAGTACTTCAAGATCTTTCGCCGGAGACTTTATTGAAACGCAAAACTTTGAAGCCGATAACTTCCGCGCTTACAAAGGCAGGTCTGAAATACCGGTGGTCGATGTTTTACAAGCTCCAAGTCACTCACAACGGCACGACACACCATATTGCTGATTATGAGGACGGGATACAAGTTCTTGCCGCCCTGAACCTACCTTTACCGCCGGAACAACCTAAAAATGGCAAAGGCAGACCGAACGACAATCCGAAGTTCAGATGGCAGAAACCGCGCAATAAGAATCGCTGAGGACAGGACTAAAGGATTTTCTACTATTTGAATATACTGTCATTTTCTGATCTTCTCAACAAGGCAACTACAAGAGTACTGGTTTGTAAGGTCTATACTGCCATTCAGCAAACCATTGCCATAGGGACGGGACTTAAAGATGTTTTCTCTCTTAGTTGAAAATGGTGTTGTGCACTACGCTCACAATCTTGTTTTTTTTTAAGTATGTACTTCAACAGTCCGCTAGGTGACTTAAAGCTGTTTTTTTCTCTTAATTAATTAAAACAGACTAGCTGTAAAATAATCACAACATGTTTTTACGGCATTTACTTCACATGTTTGCAGTATCACTCTTTAATTTTCTTAGTAATGCATATATAACCATTTTGGTGATTTGTAACTGTTTTCTTCTCTTAAATGCTATGAGATTTATACACTGCAAAGCAATTATACTAAGTTTTAAAGTTTGTTCTTCATATGGTTCATTCATTATAATATTTAATTATGCAAAAGGTCAGTATAGCCTATAAGCATGAAAAAGTATCAATGATATGGTATTTAAAATGGGCCTCTTAAGTAACATCATGCTCACCTTGGTGTGGCATCATAGAGAGGGGGAAGGCCAAATGGGTTTTAGCTCCTACCGGTTTAGGTGTGTTTTTATTCTTTCATACTGTTTATTAACTCTGAAGTTTTTCATGAATTCACCTGCCTATACCCTGACTATAAGGGTCTGCAGGGCTTCTGGGAATGCCCTGCACAGTTTGTGTTTTAGTTGGTTACTGTTTGCATTTTTAAAGTTGTTTTTAAAATTGATTACCATAACAATGAATTTGTATGAAAGGAAACCACGTGCTAATCCTAAAAATTGTATTATTTGCCCAATTTCAATATTTTATCTCTTAACTGATTTTTTAAACTCTCTAATGAATTTGCAGATCACATTTACAGCCAAATTTGCCTCTTATTACTGAATGAAATCAAATGAATTTTCTTCAATAACACTTGTTGATGTCCTATGAATTCAATGGCTAAGCAACCTGACGTCAAATTTATTACACTTAATTGCCATGGCTTGAACAGTCTTATCAAAAAGATGAGAGTGCAAACCGCTTTAACTTCACAACGGCCTGACGTCATATTTCTCCAAGAAACCCACCTGAACAGAAAGCAACAAAGAGTTTTTAATTCTAATTACTATGCAGCTCAATATTTAGCCCCTGGCTCGTCAAAAGCACAGGGAGTAGAGATCCTCATTAGTAAAACAATTAGATTTTTAAAGACCCTGCAGGTCGATACGTAATGATTGAGGGTCTTCTAAATAACAAATCCTATGCTTTAATTTCCATTTATGCTCCAAATTCAGGGCAGTTGGAGTTTATTAAAGATACTTTTACTTTACTGGAATCTTTTAGTGACAGTCCATATATAATAGGAGGAGATTTTAACTTACCTTAAGATTTTAACTTACAATTGACAGTTCACGTAATAGTCCCCCTCAGGTACAGAGTCAAATTCGCAAGCCATCAAAACTTCAAACTTTGTTAAACAAATTCAACCTTTGTGATATTTGGCGCGCCCAGCATCCTTCGGAGAGGGATTATACGTTTTTTTCTCCAAAGCATTATACATTTTCACGCATAGATTATCTTTTTGTTTCGGATTCAATCTCTAATGCC